GGGCCCCCTTCTTCCCGCAGCTCCTGCAAACCCTCCGCTCCCGGGAGCTGCAGCCTTCAGTGCACTCTGTCCTGGATGTCGAGTTTACGCGGGCGCTATCCAGAGCCGGGAGAAGTGGCGGCAGTCTCCACTCATCAACTCCCCAAGGCGGCTCCTGGGCCACCAAGGCCGAAGCACAGTTGGAACGCGAGCTTTAGCCCGAGACGCCCAGACCTGCGCTGTCCGAGCGGGGCACGGTGGCGGCCGAGCGGCTTCCGGCCCAAGGGGGAGACGCAGTTGAGTGATCGCGACCAGCACACTTGGCGCTCGCAGCCTCCAGCGTCGGAGAGGTGAGAATCCGGCTGTCGTCCTCTTCTACCCTCCAAGCCCGGGGCCCGGCCACCGCTCCTCGGTGGGGAGACCCAGAGAGTCCACCGCCTGCTTCCTGAAGTTTTTCCGAGGCGCTGCGCCACATGCCCGGGGCGCGGACCTCCGCTCCGAGTTTGCCGGTACTCCGCCCTGTTTCTGTCTCAGCATCCGTTTCTCTGTGACTCCATGGCTCTTACCCTCCGTAAATCTGTCTCCGTTCCCCGTGGAAACTGCATTTGTCTAGATGTCTGTTCGTGGGTCTAAAAATCTCTCGCTCTTTGTCCCCTCTCCCCCATCCCCAGTCGTACCAGGGCTGCCCCCAACCCTGACCTTTCTGGCCACGGACATGTGGGCCCTACAGCTAGGCAGCGGGACCCACAGGCCACCTCCTCCAGTAAAACCTGCCCGCAGCCCTGGGTCAGTGTCGGCGTTTCTCTCTCAGGGTCTCAGGCACAGAGGTTGTTCCTATGCGCTTTTTCTCAACAGCCCGGTTTCTGCTCGTCCCGTTAGACCGCTTTTTCTTTCTCGGTCTTTCTCCAGGACCCAGAAGAGAGTAGCCCCGGCTTAATCTGGGTCGTTTCAACCTCGGGGCTGGGCAGGGGAGGTGGGCGCTGGACGTGGGCGAGAACTGAGCGGCTGGGCGCGGTGCTGGCCAGACAGGGGTTGCCCGAGTTCCTGCCACGACAGCGCCCCGCAGTGGCCAGAGCTGGGTCCTGCGCGGCCTGAGCCCCTGCTGTGCCGCGGTCTGGAGGCTGTGATTCTCAGCCGGTAACATCGTCCAGCGAGCCTCAGTTTCCAGACCTGCTTGGCAGTTAGAAGCAGAGACCCTACAACCAGACTGTTGGGCTTCCGATCGTGGCTTCACTACTTAGCAGCTCTGCTACCGTGGGAAAGTTTCTTAAATACTTTGTCCCTTTGTTTCCTCTTCTTAAAAATGAGATTGAGAACACCTACTCCATGACAAACACGTAAAGGCAGTCATATTTGAGCTGTTTAGGAAGAGGGTATTGAGAATACTTCAGAGATTCGTGGGGCCCTGTTCTGTGAGGGAAGAAGGGGTTAGGGTGATTAGCCTGCCACCTGAGTGTCACACCTAAATGTGTCCCTGGTGCAGTCTCCAGCCACTGTACGGAATTAAGTCCCTGTAGGTGAGTGCTGGGAGCAGCCTGGGTGGGAATTTGCACACCCGTGTGCTCTACCTAGCAGAGCAGATACGCAGGTGGATGAATTTTTTATCTCATCAGACTCCAATCTATGGGGCAGTTGATTGTAAATCTACCTCCTTGTTCCACAGATGGGACCACAGAGGTGAACTTGGCGCTTCGCAGAGAAAGGAGTATGGACTCAGCCAGGCTCTGGCAACCAGACAGAGCAGGGCTGGGTTACAGCCGGTCAGGGGATCCTCACAACAGAGTCCTTCATCCTCCCAAGCTGGGAGCAGTCAAGGTGGAGGGTAGGGTTGGCTGCTCCTGTCCTCTGAGAGCAAGTCCTCTGGGGCTCCTCAGGGACCTGCGACCACGGGGGTCCACTTGGTGTGCTTGATCTGCATAAACAGACTGTCCTTGAACAAAAGAGAAACAAAATGGGACAGGGACTAGTGACTCTGGAATTTCTTGGGTGACAGGGCCATCCTGAGAAAAAGGTTGCTAGATTTAGTAGATTTTTGTTTATTTTAATCTGGCAATCACCCCCAGGGGGGATGGCCACGCTGCAATCCATTCTCCTCTCGGGATCTTGGGCAAAGCCACCAGGTCTGGGACTCGAACCATGGTTGACCACGTGGGAGTCCAGCAACATAGCCATTCTGCCATCTGCTGGTCCTAACTCTTTATATTTATTTATTTATTTTTTTTGAGAGAGATTTTTGCTATAGGGTAAATGTGTTCACCAGAGAGAAAGAGAGATACAGAGATAGAGAAAGCAAAAAATCAACCCCCAGGGGAGATGGCCATGCCAAATTCCCTTCTCCATTCTCCTCCCAGGATCTCGGGCACACACTCACATGCACCTGGCATGATTTGAAGCCACCAGGTCCAGGACTCGAACCACCGTCACCCATGTGGGAGTCCAGCAGTATAACTGCTACACTATCTGCTGGTCTCGAATTGCTCTTATTTTTACTACATGGAGATCTCTTTTCCACTCCCAGGATCCTCCTCACAGAGACTCCACACCATCGACCACACACCTAGCTCAGCTCATTGGTGTCTAAAGAAGCCAAAAGGAAAAGAGCATTGGAATCACCCTATTCCGTTTCACCTTCGTTTCTAAAATGGAGACTGAGGACCAGTCCCTCTTTTGCCAGCATGCTCCTGGTTTCCCAGGCTCCAGCTACCCACCCAGGTTCAGGGTTAGATGGCTGTGGCCATCTAACATGCTGCCCCAGTTCCCCTGGTTCTAGTGCTTTAGTCAAGAGGTCTCCCCAGCAGCTTCAGCCCACAGTTCCTGCCTCTGCCTCTATCGCTGTCTCTCTGTCACATCCCAGCCCTGCTGCACATTGTAGCTGAGACCCGGGTTGAAGAAAGGGAGTGCATAAACCCCAATCTCCATTCTGCAAGGTGTGGGTGGAGTATGATTTTAAGGAATCTTCCTGACCTTTATTTTTATTATTATTATTTTTTGAGAGGTTTTCGCTATAGGGCACATGCACTCACCAGACAGGCAGAGAGAGACATAGAGACAGAAAGCGAGAAATCACTCCCCAGAGGGGATGGTCACGCCACAATCCCTTCTCCTCCATTCTCCTCTCGGGATCTTGGGCATGCACGCACATGTGCCCGGCGTGAGTTTTAAGCCACCGGGTCCGGGACGCGAACCGCGGTCGACTACGTGGGAGTCCAGTGACATAGCCATTAGGCTAACTGCTGGTCCCTATTTTTATTATTCTTATATTTTTATTTACTTTTTAGTTCGCTAGCAGAAGAGTGACACAGAGATAGAGAGGGAAGGAAAGTGAAAAATCACCCTCCAGGGGCCGGCAAGTGGCATGGTGGTTAAAGTCAGTCGACTCCCACATGGCCAACCACGGTTCAAGTCTGGGACCTGGCGGCTTGCTTTCTCACTTCCTCTCTCTCTCTCTCTGTCTCTCTCTGATCAAACTGGAAAATAATAATGATAATAATAATAAATAAAGTTAAATAAAATAATAATTTTTTAAAAAATCACCCTCCAGGGATGGCCACACTGTAGTCCTTTCTCTTTCAGTCTCCTCTTGGGATTTTGGGCACCACTCAACATGTTTTTCAAGCCCCCAGTTCTGGTCCTGGATTCGAACTGCAGTGTCCCTGGTGTGGGGTGCAGCCACCCTAAACTCCACTCCACCTGCTGGCCCCCTCCTGATCTTTCACACTCATTTTACAGGAATGGAGACTGAGGTGTTACTTGCCAGGCTTTGGAGGGGCCCTAAATTGAAGTGTCCCCAGGTGTCTGGGCTCCCAGCCCAAAAATCATCTGTTTGTCCAAATTACTGCTTCTCTGACTGAGCTCCATTCTTCCTGGGAAGGGGTGTTTCCGGGAGCCCCACATCCTTTCCAAGACTCTGGGCCAATTTGTTTTAAACAGTACCAGGAGTAAGTGCACCGGAGACTAGGAGGGGGACCCCTGGATTGGGGGATTCCTTTTATACCCCTCCCCCCCATTTCCCTTCTCTGGTGGCCCTTGCCTTTCCCACCTGTGGGCTCCAACACTTTGGCTTCGAAGTATTCGTGCATGTATGTGCCACTCTCCCCGCGAAAACTGAACCCTCCTTCTTGATCCTGGGCTCCAGCACCCACGCCTGCAGCGGCTTGGCTTGGG